TGAGGGAACTGTCAGAGAAGAAGAGGTGGCTTTCTTCCTGCTTAATGGTGATGAATCTCTTTACCTGTGTTCCAAATCCTGCTCAGAAACCTTACTTCTTTTAATATCACTCCATATAAAAATCCTCATTTCTAATGATTAAACAAACCCCTTCCTGTGAACCTCCCTCAGACCGTCAACATTGTATCTGGCTCCTCTTCACAACCATGTTCTGTGCTTTTATTCTCCATTTTTGCACTCCTCACTCATCATTTGTTTTATGCTTTCAGCTTCAAGGAAGCTAACTGCCACTTTTTCTAAGTGCTCGATTAATTCAGCAGTTTTTAGAATATTCACAAAGTTATGTAACCATCACCACTGTCTGATTCTAGACCATTTACTTTATCCCAGAAAGAAACCTGGTACCATTGGCAGACATGCTCCACTTCCTCTCCCTCAACCCTTGCAACCACTAACCTACTTCCAGTTTCTATAGATTTATATTATGAGCATTTCACATAAGAAGAATCATACCATACACATCCTTTGGCGGCAAGCTTCTTTCACCTGGGATAATGTTTTCAAGGTTCATTCATATAGCAGCAAATGTTAGAACTTTATTACTCTCTATAGTTGAAAAGTATTGTTTTATGGTTATGCCACATTTTGTTTAGTCATTGATTATTTTATAGGCACCTAAGTTGTTTCTACTTTTAGATAATGCTGCCATGAACAAGTCTCTAGAAATTTTGTGTAGACATATGTTTTCAATTTTCTTGAGTACATGCATAGGGCTTGGACTTTTAGGTCACATGGTCATCGACACTTAACTTTTTGAAGATTTACTGAACTGATTTTCCTCCAAGGAGTGGACCTAAAACATTCCTTTTTTTTTTTTTTAACACAACAGGCATTATTGATATAACAAAGATTATAATCAGCATCCTATTTCAAAAAGCTCCATAAGAGTTACTTCATGAATGTTATATGAAAAGTGAAAACAAATTTCTTTGTGAATTATGTTCTGAATCACATTTAACACACAAGTTTGATATATTTCGTTGCCAGGGGTCGAAATGCTAGTAAATGGAATAAAACTTAGTTACTACGTAAGTAAATCTGACAGATAAGCTCCTAAATCACAGTTGGGTCATATTGTACATATCTTAGTTTATACCTTGGAACTAATAATAGCACTCCCTCTCAGCATCTACTCCCATTATTTCATTTAAACCTCAGAATGAGTACATTTTCAATATATGCCAGTGTTACCTAGGCTTAATACATTTTTTTCCGGTACCAGAAATCGAACTCAGGGCCTTGTGCTTGCCAGGCAGGTGAGGTACCACTGAGCTAAATCCCTGGTCCTAGGCTTAATATTAATACAGAATGGAATGATCTGAAGAAAAGTAAGAATTTAGAATTCTCCACTCATTTCCCCATTCACTCAAAGACTGGAAAATGATTTGGGAAAGAAAGGTTTGAATGACCTTATTGCTGCATATTTCCTACTTTTATTCCTTCCTAAATGCCAGTTTTTCAGGTCCTAAGCTCCTGGCAGGCATATGAATTATTCTGGAGAGCTATACACATAAAAAAACTAAGAGCATTAAAAATTCCCTTGAAAGACTTTTAGGGCAAATTTTAATGATACTACTAGAATTGAATTCCTTGAAGTTAAATGCAGGTTAATTGTGATTCCAGTTTACAATCTCAGATTATCTTTTTTGGTCAATGCTAAAAGCTATCCTCTTGAATGCTTACCTTAAAATTAATTTGCATCATTGGGAGAAGGTGAACCAAAGAACTGCGCATGTCTGTAGTGATGAGAGAATTAATTTCTGATATATTGAGACAGCGTAATGTTTTATATTTTTCTTCAGACATGCCCACTTTTGAACCTAAAACATCAGCAATGGCTATAGACAAAGTAAAAGGTTAAAAATAGTAAAAATGATGGTTTGTGAAAAAGAATTAAATTGCAACTTAAATTTTAAAATAAGAATTTATCAGATAAAAGCAACTTTAAAACATTTGCATTTATACCATGGTATCTTTAAATGGCTGAATCATTTTATTAGTTAACTATGCAGAAAAATTTATGAAAAAGCCAAGAAATTTATTTTTAAAGGCCTACTGTAGAAAGGTTAGAAGGGAAGGAACTAAATTTGGGAAAGTTAAAACCCTGGCGGGGCCGGGGATTTAGCTCAGTGGTTCTGCTGCCTGCCTTGCAAGTACAAGGTCCTGAGTTGAATCCCCGGTACAAAAAAAAAAAAAAAAAAAAAAAAAAAAAATCACTAAAACCCCAGCCTAATCATTTCATATTTCAACATTTGACATAACGTAACCAGACTTAAAAAGAAACTAGACATATCATGCAAAAATAGTACAAAGCTGTCTAGACAAACTAGAAATAAATACATACAGAAACAATTGAGGAACAAAAATTAAAACTGTTCTATAAAATAATTAACTGATGGTTATCCCCAAAGAATAATATACCCATGCTTTAATCATTTTTCCAAAGGTAATTAAAATAATATAACATGGGCATCTGCTTTTTTTTCTTTTTCTTAAATTTGTCATATATAAGGTTTTTATATACAATCAGTGTGTATTGTAACAGTTTATATCAAAAGTCAATCAAGGGCCGGGGATTTAGCTCAGCGGTTCGGTGGCCTGCCTTGCAAGCACAAGGACCCGAGTTCAATCCCCGGTACCCACCCCCCAAAAAAAAAGTCAATCAAGTTTGTCTAAAATGTTAACCTGGCTGCATAGCACATTTGACATTATTGCCTACCTGAAAGGGAAAACAAATGGATTTACAGTAATGTTTGGCCATTTGGATTTTGTCATATATCTACCCTTTTAAGCCCAAAGCATCTGAAAAAAATGTTTCCAGAGCAGGGCATCTGCTTTTAAACACAGATTGTAAAGGCTAAGATATAAACATATTTATCACATATTTTTAAAAAAGCCTTTCAAAATCTAAATGTATCAAACACATTCAATTTTCCTTTCAATTCAAAGGTAATATTGAATAATTTCAAGAAATAAATTTCAAATGTGCAAGCAGAGACTTATGGGACTTTATGCAAAAAGAATCTGATCTTTATAATATATTAATGCAAATTGGACACAGCTACCACTCACCCAGGAAGACTTTCTCTTTTCCGATACAGTAAGTGCCACAGACAACAAGAGCACGTGGGTTTAGAGTTACAGCTTCAAAGGCAGTGTTGATGGCAAACTGGATAACCTCTTGCTGAGATGGAAAGGTGTATTCTGGGCTGCAATATCTGTAATACAGAAATATGTACTTATTAAAAGAACACTAAGAAAGCTATAGTGACTACAGCTCTACCTTGGATATTATTTTTAAAAATAAACTTAAAAACTACACGCAACAGCAGTATAATATACGAAAGTAAGTTACTTCCCTGGAGTTAAAATGTTTGTTAGTGGTCTTGCTAATTTATTATAGAATTATTATTAGTTTTCAATATATCTTTTAATTATATTTTATTAACCTCAAAAACATGCCCTTTGGAAGATCTTTTTCCTCCAAGAATATTTATAGCTATTCAGCTCTTTTAGCCATGGATTATAAACCTTAATATACCATTTTTTTAAACTCCAATCACTATATAAGAAAATACTATTAGCTGGTGTGGTAGTGCATGCCTATAATCCCAGCACTCGGAAGGCTGAGGCAGGAGCATCGCTGTGAGTTCAAGACCAGCCTGGGCTACATAGTGAGTTCCAGGTCAGTCTCAACTACATAGTGAGACCCTGGCTCAAAAAGACACAAAAAAAAAAAAAAAAAAAAAAAAAAAAAAAAGAAAAAAGAAAAAAGAAAAGAAAATACTATTGAAAAGGACTATATTTCAATTAAGAAATTTTGATTTAATAAAAAATTAAAATATGGATACATATTGAGGATATACTCCTAAGTGAAATAAATAATTCACACGTGTAAATACCGAATAGTTTCTCTGGTATGAAAAACTATAATAGTACATAAGATCCCAATGAGATAATTGACAATGTGAAATAGGAAGAAAAGGGCTAAAGGTGTCAGGAAAGTGGGAAGGGTAGGGGAAAGGCGATAAGGGAAAAGAAAAAAATATGAGAAAATGAAAACAATGGAAATAAAGTGTTTGTAAATGGGGAGGGGAGGAGGGGGTGAAGGGAGGGCAGGGACAAGGGAAAAAATGAGAACCAAGACCTGTCACGTAAAGATACAAGATCCCAATAATGAATGTAACTGTATTGTATACCTAAAATGTACCAATAAGCTCAATAAAAAAAAATTAATAAAATTGAACATGAATTTGATGTACTTTTTAAAATTAATGAAATTCACATGGATATCATCTCCTTTATAGATACAGAAATAAATGTAGCATTACAGGAACACCATAACCCCAGTTGGGCCTAAATATAATAATACCAAGTAAAAGATTAACCCTAAGCTACTATCTGTATATTTTTGATATGAAAAGGAAGCACTATCTCACTAAAATATAAATTATAAACACCAAATAAACATTTTTCCCAATTTTCAAGATTGTTTTTCCTAGTCCAACTTTTCTATACAAAATACACACAAAGGGAATTTATTTTCTTAATTTATCTATTCCTTAAAGTAGATATAAAAGAATGAAAATATTATTTATTGTGAGAAAAATGGATGTAGAAAGCCTATCATTTACTAAAATGTCCCATACAAACTTACTTCTTTTAATATACCTTGAAATACTTGAATTAATTTTTAACAAATTAGTGAGGTATTTTAATATACAATATTATGTCATACACCATATAGATATGTAATTTTTATTTGTCAAGTATACCTTAATAAAACTGAGAATATGTATGTATACTTAAAATATAATGGCTTATACCACTGTATTAACATCACTGAGGATTTTAAAGCTGTTACTTATAAATTACCTTTTGGAGGAAAAAAAAAGGAACTTGCAGTACTCAAAATCACATTTTGGCCTTAGTTTTCCCTTCACAATTACACCTAATACCACAGTTGGAAGGGTAACTTAAGAGGCTAAATTTTCCTCCCTCCTTTCAGAATTCTGCTATAAAGATTTTCAAAAAGAAGTTACAAAAATTAAACCATAGTCAATTAATACAGGTGATACCAAACTGTTCTTTTGTGAGTATATGTATTTTTCCAAACAGCATCCTTCTGATGAAATAGCCTTAAAAACAGTAACTGGCCATAAGCCATCATCTTAATTATCTAAGCAAATGCTTAAATTATTCATAAAACACAGAGCAAATGCTATCAGTGTGCAAAAGAAGTACTCAAAGAAAGCTCTTACGTGGTATCCAAGTACAGCATGTGGACTTTCCGGCCTGCAAGAAGAGAACGTTCCATGCTCGGATCTGCTCTGAAGTCTCCAGTGTGTAATACAACAGTCCCATTAGGGAGGTAAAAAAGGATCATAGCAGCACCTGGACAGCTGAATACAAACATTTAAAGGCATATTTGTTACACAGATAAAGCACCTATAGAAGGTGTACCTATTTCAGTATCAACAAGTTATACATCTTATTAGCTCGCCAGTGACAAAGCGCTATACTACAGAGAAAAATGCAGTATTTGAACTACAGGAAATTTACACCATAAAAAGAAGTGTGTGCAGGAAAAGATTAATTCACCAGGCAGGGGTTGTTCAAACCCTGCACATTCCCAAGAAAGGCCTGCCTTCAGAACTCCTCCTTGGTCGCCTCCTGAGAAATGAGATCTAAGCCCTTGGAATATTTTCTATGAGAAGAGTGTTTTATGTTTCTGAGGCGGGCTAAGTCATACCAGTTTGACCAGCAACTTATACCAACTACATGGTTTACTTGTGAATACTTCAAAAGAGGTTGACTTAAAAAAATCAGAACTCAAGTTAAGGACCAAAAAAAGAAAGAGCAGCAAAGCTAGCTGACTAAATGAAAAACAACCTGAAGTAACAGCATTGGCCTGCATTTTAGGAAACTTAGATTTATCCTATTCCTTTCCCTAAGTATCTACGATTTCTATGGAACAGGAGCCTAACAAACATTAGGAAAAGTAGAAAGAAGCATGGTTAAGGGTCATGTTGGACAACATGAATGCTGGTAATATTTTACATTAAAAAGATGGGTGGGGGAAGGAAATAATTTTCAAGAAAAAAGTTTTCCAACTATTTGGTATTTAAAGTCTGAAGGATTTCTTAGTTTAAATGTAGCAGGTTAGAGGCAGAGAATCTCCGATATCTAAATGGGGTACAAACTGTTAACATATATAAATAATATTAAAGAAAATAGCAAAAGGTTATCTGCACAGCAATAGTTTTAATTTTTTTCTCTCCTCTCCCTTTGGCAGTACTAGGACTGAAGCCAGGGCTTTCAGATCAGGCTATACCCTTATTTGTCTCCTCAGTTTTTTTTTTTTAGACAAGGTTTTGTGAAGTTGCCTAGGATGGGCTCCAACTGAAGATCCTACTTACTGCCTCAGCCTCCAGACATGTGCCACCACACCCAGCTCTTAAATGTACTTTTTAAAAATAAGCTGGAGTCTAATGTCAAGAGTAGCGATTTAATCCTCTAACATTTGGAAGATTTCACTACATTTAATCTCTGATTCTAAAATTGGGTGTTATTTCTTTCAAAAATAGAAATACGTTTTATTCAAATTTTAAGAAGAATCAAGCATGTCAACTTGAACAAAGAAGTTCTTAACCATCCCAATGTGTTTTCCTTTTGAAATTTTTAAAATAAGCTATTACTAAGGCAACTTAAATACTTACTGATTGGCATCAAGCAAAGTGACTTTGACACCATTCACTATACATTCGGTGTCCATCGGCAGTGGATGGATATATTGTTCTTGCACATGAAGCTTGCACTTCAATAGATTTCCAGTTATCTGCAAAACAGGATGCGCTTATTGCTGATTTGGTGAAACACGAGGTATGATTAAAAAATACACACACACACACACACACACACACAGCTAATGCTTAAAGTTTAAAAAATTTACTGCGCAAAAGATACATTGCCATTACTCCCCCCCAAAATATACTCCCTCACTTCAATACACTTATACCACCATTCTGTCTCTCTCTGAAGCAGTTCTGGAATTCCTTTTTCATGTCTTTAACTGCACTATTGTGGCTGCCTTGATGTTTGAATAGATTCGAAACATTTACCTTTCATGGTCATTTTGATTTTGGGGAAGAGCCAGAAGTTGCACGTGCCAGATGTTGTGACTAAGGTAGATGAAGACATACCATGTTTCTATGAACCTTTTTCCTGGATGGCACTCAGCAGCAGCAGAAGGGAGACCTTCAAACAGCTTCAGAATGATATGTAAGTGTGTTCAAAGCAAGGGGGACTACTTTAAGGGAGATTAATGTCAATATGTCTTTTATTGCAATAAATGTTTGGTTTTTGGTTTTTGTTTTTTGCAGTACTAGGGGCTGAATTCAGGACCTTACGCTTGTGAGGCAGACATGGCAACACTGAGCTAAATCCCCAGCCCTATTGTAATAAAATTTTTAATTTAAACATTCCTATATTTTGATCAACACTGTATAAACTATTTTTATATATAAATAAAAAGACCAATTGATAAACTATTTAAAAGAATTTTAGAATTGTTTTCTATTTTTGTATATAAGTAAAGACAAATTTTATCTATTTTAAAAATGTTAGTATGGCTAAGTATGGGATTCATTAGAAAATGTTAGGGATCTTGACCACAGTTTGTATTTTGTTTCAATTCCAGTTTAGAACCATAGCATCTGAATAATCTCCCTGCTTTCCCAGTTTTTTCCCATAAAGCTTTAATGCCAGCAAATACTTCCAAGGACAGTGCTATTCTTCTACTTAAACACTGGCTCTCTGTCACCAATAAAAAGCTCATCATTCCCAGCATGATGTACAAAATCCTGTGTTATATGACCCCAACCCATTGCTTTGGATTTATCTCCTGTGGTTCCCTACAGCATGTTCTAGCTTTTCTAAATTTTCTGGGTTTTTTGTTTGTTTTCGGTTTTTTTTGGGGGGAGTTTATTGGTACAATCTAGGTATACAATACAATTACATTCATCATTGGGATTCTGTGCCTTTACATAATAGGTCTTGATTCTCATTTTTTTCCCCTTGTCCCTGCCCTCCCTTCACCCCCTCCTCCCCTCCCCATTTACAAACACTTTATTTCCATTTTTTCAGTTTCTCATATTTTTTTCCTCTCCCTTATTACCTTTCCCCCACCCTTCCCACTTTCCCAACACCTTTTGTTTTCATTTTTGATACAGATTCTCACCACATAGTTAAGGCTGGCCTTGAACTCAGTATGCAGCCCAGGCTGGCCTCAAACTCCCACCAATCCTCCTGCCCCAGCTTCCCAAGTACTGGGATTAAAGACATATATATGCCAGCACTCCCAATCTGAATCTTTTGGTCTGGAGTAAGTATATTTTTCAGGCTCCTTCAAATAAATTCTACTCTCCGCCTGGTATGTTCTCTCCTCTTTCCTTGGTCTGGGAATCAGACAGACCTGCATTCAAATTTAGACTCTGTACTATCTAGGTACTGCCATTACTCTGTGACTTGGAGCATTCACTTAACCTCTCCAAACATCACTTCCTTCACTAAGAAAAAGAGGCTACTTCATGAATGCTGTGAGGATTAAATCAAATTCTAGCTAAAGCCTTTAGTAACAGGGATTGATCACCTGTTAATAATTAGTTCAGGTATCTATTTCATCATGACACTTTCTCTCCACCCCAGTGCACAAAAGAATAAAGTAGTTCTAGGCACTCTATTTATTTTTCTACTAATATAAATCCCATATGGTGTTATTTGTGAATGTTTCCCCTGGAGGCTGTAAATTCCTTGAAGTTAGTTATTTAGTCTTTTATATTTATTTAGGCACTCAAAGAATGTTTCCTGAAGGAAACTGGTTTTTTAGTACATCGTGAAAGTTTATCTGATCTTAAGTAATAAAACATGTTTCTTAAAAATAGGTTGTAACCATTGACATTAACTCGTTTGATTTTAGAATCTTGAAGTAGAATGTTTTCTCATATCTTTTCTAGTAGAATAATCTTACAGTTTTAATTTTTAAAAATTAAATGTCTTAGAAACTCACAGCATTCTACATAGTCAGAATTTAGAATACGCAAACTTACCTCACTACAATAAACTGGAAAGGTGAAGTTTTTGGACAACCCAGCATAGTGATCAGAATGAAAATGTGTGAGAAAATAGGCTGTACAGCCTTCAACTTCACCATACTGAAAGGCATCGACAGTAAAGCCAGTTCCTGCAATGCAAACATCAACACAGCAGTATGATAAGGGCTAACAAAGATAACTGGCTGGATTATAAATAATGAAACCGCTCTCCTCCTCGCACCTCCTCTCCAATTTAACTATAATTTATTTAAAATGTATACTACATAATACAGCAAATGGTGAGAATAAGTCTTGTTTTAATTTTCTACTAAATATCCTACTATGTAGAATTTTGTGAATTACTGCACCCACAAAATTAGAAAATATAAAAAAACACTAAGTCATAAACCAATTACTTTTTTGTTTTGGTTAATACTGTCATGGTTATTTTCTGGACACCTGAATCGTCTGTAAAAGAACAAGAGGAGAGTACTGTGGAGTTTTTTCTAAAACATCAATTCTCCATGGGGCAATACTGATAATGCTTTCAAGGAGGTGAATGGTTGAGGGCTATAATAATCCTAAATCTTCCAAAAGCTTGTGGCCTCCCCAAGGGCCACTGTATAATAAAAGATAAATAGCATTTACATAATCTCAATTTCATTGCAGGGTGGTAGGCAAGGGGGTGGGGAAAATGCCTAAGAACATTCCCTAAACTGGCAATAATGAAAAGAAGTTCTAAAATGTGTTCATGAGAAAACTACCAAGTGTGCTGACAGACAAGCTGCACATATACAAGCACAATGTCACAGTTCTACTGAGGCTTTCACACATGGCATAAAGGTTTCAGGGTCACTTGAAGTAAAGAAAATTAATCACAGTAATAATCATTAAAAACAAAACTGGTGCTATTCTCCACACAAATATTTTTAACAAATTATAGATTTAGAACATCAATAAAACACTTTTACAAAACCATTTTGAAACCAAGTGTATTTTGGCCACTTTCATGTATATTCAGAAGTTACTGGTTTCTTCAATAATAAAATTCATTCCTCTACATATTTTGCCATCAAAACTCATCTTTGAAAGCATAAGAAGTTACAAGAATATGAAAAGGCAGAGAAACAGTGCTAAAGTGGTTTTTAAACACTTGGCATTATGACAAACATAACCTGTTAAGATTCTGTTCTTTAAAGTTATTTAGCATTCTCTTTGAAGCTACTTTGTATTTCTCACAAGTGCATACTTTTATTATAGTTACTTAGAGAAATGCTTTTACTCCTTCTGAAGTATGTTTATTATCTATTACTTTAGTCTTTCTATATTCTGAAATATCCACCTAACTAGCATAGTAACTTGTGTACAGGGTATAGTTAGTAAAATTTTGCTGAACTGAATGGAGAAAAAAAAAGGAAAAACCAAAAACATGTTAAAAGCTCATAAAGTATCGTTAAAAGCAAATGCATACAGTACAAAAAATTATTTCATACATACACACACACATATCCATGGACAATGAACATGAAGATCAAAAATGTTGTCTTTGCTGGTACATTGAGCACTGAATATTCCAACTTACCAGGTATTTTCTTATAGAATGGACATGTCCTTCGTCTTAATTCCTCTGCATCAGATGACTTTGTAACTTTTGTGTTCTCTCTTTGCTGCCTGCCAGGAACTGATTTTATAAGGGTTTTTTCTTTACTTAACTTGACTCCAGATTCTGATTCTGTGTTAATAAGGTGCCCTGACCTCTTCTGATGTGTCCCTTCCTGTGAATTTGACTTTTTTTGTCTCTTTCTTTGATGCTGTGACTTCTCATCAGACAGTTCCACAGAGAACCGACTTTCATTTAAATTGTTTGCATCAAATTCTAAATCACTTAAAGATTTTTCTGCTTTCCTCTTGCACTGCCGGGGCCTCTTTTCATTAGGACTTACGCTCTTCACTTCTAACGCACTTTCCTCTGGTGACTTTTCTTCTTTTCTCTTGGGTGGTAATCCAAAATATACACCTATATCCATTTGCTTCATTACCTTGCTAAGATGTCTTTCATTACTTTTATTACTAGAAGACTTAGCAGCAGTAGATGTAGTACATTTTCCTGTATTTAAAAGTGTAACTTTACCGTCCGTCATACCATCTAACATCTTTCTGCAGACACATGCTGAGTTGCCATTGTTCTGAGCACAGAAGTTCTCACTTGATAATTCTCTAATTTTACTTTGGCTTGGTTGCAAAGAAAGACACTGTCCTTGACTTTCTAAAGATTTTGACAAGTCACAATTGAGTAACGGCAGAGAAGCTTGACTGTAAACAGCTGATTCTTCAATTGCCTGTTTCTGTTTATCTGGTTGAGATGACTGAAATTCTGGCTCATCAGGTTTTGCTTTAGTGGTCTGACAATCAGAAGCAGGGAGTTCTCCTGCTAATGCAGGTGGAAACAACAGAAAATAATCATCATATGAGCTATCACTTTCAGCTTGGGAGATAAAACGAAATGAATCGTTTAGAGCACTGCACTTATACAGTCCTTCACTGTATTTATCTTGAGTTAAGAAGCTATTCACTTTAGGGAAGCTTTCCTCTGGATTCTTCGGTGACTGACCATGGAAGTTTTTAAACACAGTAGTGCTGTTGTCATCTTCTAGGCTGCCATCTTTAGAACTTTTGGTAAAAAATAGTTCCTGTTGTGAATCATTCAACTTTTCATTTATATCATAAGTTTCCTCATCACTCTGAAGTGGAGAATAGGAGATTTCACAGCTGCTGAAGTCATTTCCTGATAATGGTAGATTTGTGTGTTGGGAGGTAGTTTGGCTATCTGATTCTTTCCCAGTAAGAGGCAAACCAACTCCTACCAATTTGTCATTCTTAACAAATTCTGTAGGTTGTACAGCTTTCCGGGAAGCATGAGTATTTGTAGAAGAGGAAACCCTTTTATTGGTTTCAGTTGTAAGCTGAGATGTTTTTAGATTCTGTTTCAGCAACAAGGGATCATTTGAAACATTTTTTTTTAAGTTTTCAGTTTGTTTCTGATGCAAAGACCATTTTTCCTCTTGGGTACAAGAAAAGCCTAGCTTAGTCTCACTGAAACTCCCATCTGGTACTTGTGATGAGCCACTAAAAGGATCATTGCTAGCTCTCCTTCGAGCAAGGAGAAGGTGAGTGTATTTCTTATAATGAGAAGGAATTGTTGAGGTACACAGAAGACCATCTGGACACTCTGAAAATTTTAATAAAGAAAAAAGTATTGTAGAGCAAGCTGACATATTAGCACTATAAATAAACCTGTAAGTAGAAAACCATCAGTTCTCCTCTGAGGTCTTATGACAACACCTGTTGTGAACTGCAAAGTCAAAAAAATCAGCATTAAAATATCAACACTTAATCCAAAATGGTTTTAGTAGGTACTTTTGTCTTTTTGGCAGTACTAGGGGTTGAATCCAGGGTCTTTGCTTTGAGCTACATCCCCAACCCTTTTTTATGTTTTATTTTGAGAAAGGATTTCACGAAGTTCCCCAGGTGGGACTTCAATTTGCTATCTTCCTGCCTCAGTCTCCTAAAGTGCTAGGATTACAGTGTGTGCCATCATATCTGGCTAATATTTATTTTTAAGTTAAATACTCTTTTATATTGCTCTTCAAATAATATTTTCTAAAAAAATGGATAACTTTAAAATATACAAATCATTACAACTGAATTTCTATGTAGTCCAAGTAGAATTTTCCATATGCTAAATATGACATTTATTTTAAAAGACAATAAAACCATACCATTACTTCAGCTTTTTGGACAGTTTTATAAGAATTTTAATCAATGAAGATGCTTCCCAGTTCCTCTTCATATATACTAGCATGAATATATCACAACCATTCTTAGAATCCATAATGTATTTATACTTTTCTATACAGTTCCCAAAAGATAATAAATTGGGCAAGCTATTTAACTTTCAAAAACCTTCATCTATTAAATGTCACTACCACCTACCTTACGTGGTCATTATGAGTCAAGTAAGCAAGAACAAACTGAAAGTACTGAACACAGTAAAAGATTCAATGAATATTTATAAAAATACTGAGATACTTAGGAACTTTTATAGAAAAATAAAATGTATTTAAACTGTTTTCAGGTTTACAACTTTCTTTGCAAATAGATGACTGGTTTAGTGTCTCAACTTTCTTTTGACATATTAGTTGCCCTGCTGTTTCACTGAATAGGCTGACCTAACACAAGATTTTTTTGACTATTTGAGAAAACTACCTTTTCTGTAATCTTACCTGTATCAGAGATTGGTGGAGAATCCAAACATTCAAAAACATGCCACCGAGGGGTTTGCCCTAACAATGAGGAAAAAGGCATCTGGCAGTTTGGACAGTGTCCATCATAAATTGGTCGTATCTTTGGGGACACTTTTCTGTTTTTCTGAGTTTTATACTGCTTCCTTGGAGTGGTCTCCTTGTCCTGGGACAACTGAGTATCATCTCCACAACTCGAATTCTGACTAGAAGCTACACTACTCTGGCTTTCTTTAAGGCATATTTCATGGTCTTTCACCTTCCCTTTATCTTCGATGGTTCTTAGTTTTTTTCCTTTTTGTTTTGACTGGCATTTTCCATCTGTTGGTTTTCGAACAGATTTGGGGATATTCTCAGAACAATTATTTGGATGTTCTGGTTTTGTTTTTCTTTTAGATTTGTATTCCCAGATGTCTTCTTCCAAAAATGTGTCTTCTAACATAGCAAAAATGACTTTATCATTAAAGAGGCATTAATCTTCAGTAAATTCCGAGTCCATTCCTTGTTACAAGTTTTGAGCATGGAATTACTGTGCTGAAAAAGAAGAGTAACCTAAAACCTACTAACTTAATGAGAATCTAGTTATGGTAATGAATATATTGGCAAACTACAATAATTATATCTGAGTACACTTGCTCTCCTATTTACGCCATAATAAAGTTATAAGAACCTATCACAGGGTTAGCAGCTGTGGCTGCTATTTCATTCAGGTATTTTAGCTTTTTATAGGACTTGACTTATAAAATAAGAATCAATACTTTAAAAATTAAGCACTAATGGGAAGTACAGATTCAACAACTTTATCTTAAAACAAATTTCATATAACTGCAGCGTGAAGCTACTATCCGTTCTCTTTCAAGTGGACAGTTGTCCAAATAATTCACAAGTCCAGTTACAGTCTCTGGGCAGTTGGCTACTTCAGTTTACTAGAAAAACTGGTCACACAGTAATCAAAGGGTTGTGTGATTCTCAAAAAATGCAACTGCCCTTCTCCGTGACTTGGAGATAGTCAATAACTTCAGTTTCTTGGATTAGTCCAGGGTCTTTCTCCGCTGCATGGTAGTCCCTGAAAAATGAACGAAGTTCAAACACCTGAGGTCGTGCTTAGTAGTCTGGGGGTCCTACTGCGCCCCGCTGAGCTGCGAGGCTGTACCCCGCCGCTGAACCCGGGGCACGCGCCAGAGGCCTCCAGCCGGCTCTCCCTTCTCTTTCGATTTCGGAGCCTGCGAGGCAACGAGCAAGGCCTTCATCCTCTCTACATTAACCTCAACCAGCTCCAAAAAAGCCCCCAGCGCCCTCCCCTTCGGGAAAGCACAGCCTGGCTTCAAAGCCCCTTGCGGCCGACCACCAGCCACAGCCCTCCCGGGACCAGCTGCATCCGCTCCCCCGGGCGCTTTCCCGGCTTTGGCGGACGGTCTATTCGCGCCCGCACTTTCAGCACTCCCAGGGTCACAAAACATAAAGTTTGTGTACAAATCAAAGCCCTTCCAATTTAAAAAGCCTTCTCCCTGGAAGATACCGTATCCCTAACGCCTTACCTCTCAAATCTTGGCGGGAACCGCTTCCCGCTGCCAGAGCGTGTCGAATCGGCTGATCCAGGTCTAAGAGTGGGACTTAATTTTTTTTTTTTAAGTAGCCTACTGGTTTATTTTATTTTAGTTTTGTTTCAAAGCCTGCCAGTTTCCAAGGTGGATGGTGTAAGAATGGGTGGCACAAAGCCCGCAGAATGCGGCCTTGAGGCCTCTTGCCCTGTTGAATCTGGCGTTCTGAATGTCCAGGCTGGACCGCGGAGGGGCCTGGAAGGGGCGGGGTGGGTT